TCGCTTTAAAGTGGGACTTCACCAAAAAGAGGAAGTTTTGCTCTTCTGCTTTTGGCACATATTTTTTGGGGTGGTGGTGGTACCTGTTTTGACAAGTACCCACTCCCACTCGGAACGCCTGGGAGATCCAAGTGCAAGTTTGCCCCTCTCCCTCCCAGCAGCTGTGACCCATCTCAGGTCTCAGAAGGCTGCGGGACCATTCACAAAGTGCAGCGCAGCTTGCGCATGCACAGTGGGAAGCAAGCTGTAAAGCCGCAAGCAGTCCCAACCGGCTTCCCACGCTAACTATGTCGGTCAGGCACACGAAGACTAGTGAAGAGCTAGCCTGGGTTAGGACAGACCTGGATCCCTAGACAGGAAAGTGTCTTTTTAATAAATGTTAGTAGCTACAGTATTTATAGCTGCTGATTTTATATTTTTTTCTGACTGAAAGCCCGCTCTCTTCACCGAGAGGGGATCTAGATTTTTTTTTTGTCTTCCTTGCTAAGAAGGGAGAAAAACCAAGATCCTTCGTAAAAGCAGCGCATATTACACATTGTTAGGCACACAATTCATCCCTAGATGTTAACACCTTTCCAGTCAGTGTCATTAGTACAGCGAGAGTGTATAGTTTTAGCACCGATCACTGTATTAGAGCCAATATTGACGTCAGTTCAATAAAAACCAGCCGACATTCAGCCAGTGTATACAACTGCCTGTTCAACAGGAGCCGAACGAACGGCATACTAGAAAACCAGCATCCGATCAATGCTGGCAGCCAATGCCTGTGAGCACTGATCGGTGTGTTCTGGTGGGGGCAGTTCCCAGTCAGAACACAATAGCTCAGCGGGGAGATTGCTGTACTAACATTGGATAGATAGTACAGCAAGCTCCTCCCAAGCGCTTCAGTTTTTTTTTCTGTTTAGCCCACTGGGTTGAAGAAGAAAAAAAACCTGATAGCGTTTACCCAGCATTAGTCAGTGTATGTCCCAGCCAGGGTCAGCTAGTGTCAGATTCAGGGGTGTGGAAGTTTTTGAAAAAAACTACTTTTCCAGGGACTAAATATGGGTCCCAATCTACTTGTCCTGCATGACAATCTACTTTTTCAGATAAAAAAAATAAAAATTTAACCAAAACCGTATTTAAATCTGAGGTGCTTTTAAGAATGTCTGGGGCTTTATGGCGACTTACACATTTAGTTTTTTTACATTGCGCTGTATATCTTCTCCTCCCAAGCACCGCACCCGGGGACTAGCAGGGAGGGGAGAAACCTTGCAGCGTAATGAGCACCGACTGGGTTCTCAGGAACGGGGAGTGTTGGGCTTATCCTTTATCCTTTTCACTGCCAAAGCCGTTTTTGCATTTTTTTGCACACGTTTCAAAAAATCATTTTAGGCTTGAAGATTACAGAAAACCTCCAAATATTATATATTTTCTGAAAGCAGAGACCCTAGATAATAAAATAGTGGTAGTTCCAATTTTCCATGTCGCAGGATATTACCGTAAAAGTCTAGGAAAAGCAAAATTTTAGTAACAAATACACTTGTTTTAGGGCACAGAAAATGAATAAGTTACCCTATTTTTGGGTAAAATATAAAAGATGAGTAAATAGATATTCAACATGTCAAACCTTAAATTTGTGTGCGCTCGTGAAATGGCAACAAACTTCAGTACTCTAGATTTTTCATAGGCGACCCTTTTAAAGCCCCTATAGGTCATCAGTATAGTACTACAGAAGAGGTCTCATGCTAGAATTACTGATCTAATTCTGGCGTGCATGGTGATATGTAACGTGTATTGCATTCAACGTTTTCATGCATAGGCATCTAAGCGTATGCTTTTACGTTTGTAAGGACAAGAAGGGGAAACAGACGTGTCCGCTCTCCTCCCCCCCCTTCTAGCTGCCGATGCACGCAGAACCAGGCCCGCAGATGGGCAAGCGGAGCCCGGGAGCCATAGTGGGCGGAGGAAGGTTAGCTTTTCCATAGTGGGCTGTGTGAAAGTAAACGGGCGAAAACGCAGGCGCCCAAATGCTTTCACCTGACAGTTGAGCCCTGCTGCTTGCCTGCAGCAGGGTTAAGGTTGAGAAAAAAACTACATGTCCTGGGCATTGGGCGATACAAATTCAACATCCCTGCATATTGCCTGCCATAAATCACTGATCACCGCCATTACTAGTATATGAAAAAAATAAATAAAAATTTCAGTATACATACACCATAGTTTGTATACACTATAATGTTCACACAAACCAAATATTTACTCTGAGACTTTTTTTTTTTTACCAAAGAACCGTAGCAGAATACATTTTGGCCTAAATTTTAGTGATGCACTCATATATTGGCCGCTGAAAATTTTAAGCTGAAACTAGGGTTATCGGCGTTTTGGCTGATAACGGCCAAGAAAGATTAGCTCACCTCACGCGTATTACAGCCAGTGCCATGCCATAAACTGCAGCCTCATTACTCTGCTCCAGTGCCCTCCCCAAATAATATAGCTATTTTAATTTAAATTCATGATATTAAATAGAATGTTGAATATTATACAATTATATATGAAAATATATATATATTTTTTTTTTAAACTGTCCATTTTGTTTATGGGAAACAAACAGCATTCCTTACTTAGGAATCAGACTCACACCAACGACAGACCATCTATACACAGCAAATCACAAAATATTGCTTGAAAACTATCCCCCGAGAACTAAACACTCTACGCACCTCAGAACTCTCCAAACTAGGCCAAGTGACGACTCTAAAAATGTATATTTTTACCCAAAATCTTATACATATTCCGCACACTCCCCATACCAATCCCTAATTCATTCTTCTCTAACCTACAATCAATCCTCACAAAGTTCCTATGGAACTCGAAACAAACGAGATGTTCCACCAATCTTTTAATACGACCTACAACTAAAGGAGGAGCAGGACTCCCACACCTCAAGTCTTATTACACAGCTACTCTTTTAGACCAATTATATTTCTGGTGGAATCCATCGAAGGAAAAAATTTGGTCCATAATGGAAACCTTCCCTTTTCAACCACTTAACCCCCCAAAAATTTGGTCCATAATGGAAACCCTCCCTTTTCAACCACTTAACCCCCAAAATATACTTTTGACCCCACCGACCAACCGAATAAAACCCCAACTAAAACATCCCTGCATTCTAGCCTCCCTACAAGCTTGGCGGGACCTCCTACCCACTAAATTTAAAGACATTAAACATATACCTACCCGAACCAATATACTACACCTTCTCATTCCCTCAGACCTATCCCAATGGACAAAACAAGGAATAACCAACATAACAGACCTCTATATCAATCTATATGCCCCTTCCAGGTTCTCCAATCCAAATATAATATCCCTACTACTGAAAATTTTACATATCTAAGAATCGCTCATTGTCTACAAACAACTAGCTTACCCCACAACACTATGATACCAATTACAGCCTACACCTTCTTCACCAAACCTTAATACCCTGGTAAAGGTATATCCAACTTCTATACATACCTCATAAACTTACAATTTACTCTACAACCTCCCTAACCGATTGGGAAAAAATCCTATCAGATCAAATAACTTTAAAATGCCGGGAAAATACCTTCAACATCACCTATAAAGCTACCCGATGTAGCTCCCACTAGGAGTCATATCTAAAAATACTCCACCAATGGTACCTGACCCCGGTCAAACTCTCCATCTACTACCCGAAACTATCTCCTACATGCTGGAGACAATGTGGTGAGCCAGGCTCAACACTACATATTCTGTGGTCACGCAAGTCACTTCCATCCTTCTGGAATACTACGTTCCAATTAATCTCTGAATAAACAAAATTTCGATAGTCCCGAACCCCTCATTAGCACTCCTACACATCAGAATCGAGAAACTCCCGAACAATTATTAGCCACATACTCTTTGCTGCTTAAATTAATATTACCAGATTATGGAACACAAATAATACCCCTCAATCACTTCATTAATTATAGACCTTAACACTCAATGTCGAATGGAAAAATGATCCGCAATTAACACTTCTTCCTATCACAAATTCAATATCCAATGGACCCGATGGCTAAATCACCCAAAATATTCTGTACAACCCTGATGACATTTCATGAGATGAAATTACCTCCCATACCAAGACTGGTATCTCCTCAAATGCCGAGTTACATCCCTCCTTCCCCAATCCTAGCCTCCCCCACCTCTCCACCAAAACCCCCTAACACCCCTAACTCCTCACCAAGGATCATCAATTACACACGAATACCTCTGATGATATCACTAAACAAGACCAACTCCTCCACCGTCCAATGGGAGGAATCACAACAAAAATACTCAACTATATTTTGTCTATTGCCATATTGTATAAATGAACCATATCTCTTGTCCCTGTTTATCTCTGAAAAACTTAATAAAAATATTGAAACAAACTGTCCATTTTGGTTTTCGGCCAAGTGATCCTGAATTTCCGGTTTCAGTCTAGAATTTTCACTACTAAGTTAAAAGGGAAATCTGATTTTTTTTTATTTTTATTGAATATGTTTTATAGCAGAAAGTAAGAATATTGGGCTTTTCTGGAGGGAGGCCAAGTCACGGCTCAGTGTGTGAATGGACACACGGAGCAGCGGGGTACCCCCATAGCAGGCTGCTTGCTGTGGGGGGCACTGGACAGGAGGGAGGAACCAGGAGAGCCTGCAGGGTCCTGAGAAGAGGAGGATCCTGGCTGTTCTGTGCAGAAGCACTGCATACAGCAGGCAAGTACAACGTTTATTATTTTCCACTCGCTGTAAAAAGTCTCAGCACCTCCTGTCATCAGAAGCAAGGTGTGCTGGGCTTTGTAGTTCCACAGGCGATCTACAATCTAACAGAGAAGGTGAGCGCAGCATGGCAGCTCACAGGTTAACCGGTGCTGCGATCATGTGCGCTGTGACAGGCCGGTGGTGAAGGGGGCGTGCACGGTGTGAAGGGAGTGCTCTCCATAGTAACCGTCCCCACACCCCAATTACCTTCCTGCACATGGCCTCCCGCAACTGGTCCAGACGTTCCCGCAGGGTGACCCTCTGGTGGAAGGAGAAGGCCGGGTGGAGGGATGCCATAGTAAACAGCAGCAGCAATTCCTCCCGAGAAGCCGCCAGCTCCCCCGGCTTTCGCTCTCCGTCCTCCCGGCACCCCAGCAGGCGCTCCGTCCCCATGGCCGGCAGTAGTAGGAGGCGGTAGAGGCGGCCGGCCACCTCCCGGTTCTCGGAGCTGAGCAGCGCCAGGTAGACGATGAGCTTGGAGCGGGCGGTGCGGTCGCTTAGGTCCCCCAACCCCGGTTCTCCGGCCGGCCCGTTGGCCCTGCTCTCACAGTCCCGCAGGTAATGACAGTCTTTCCGGGCCAGGTCCTCCAGGCACGAGCCCAGGAAGCGCAGCTCCAGCGGATTGCACAAGTCCAGCAAGCCGCAGGCGAACTCCAACCTCTGAGCCGGGCCCAGCGACTGCACGAACCACTCGTATACGGACTCCCGCTGGAGCGGGGCCGGCCCGGTCAGGGGGGCACAAGGACGGGAACACATCCCCCGCTCTTCCTCGTCGTCCTCCTCTTCATCCAACGCCTTGTGCTTGCTGCTCTTCCTCGGCGGCAGCTTCATCTTCAGCATTCTCTGCCCGTACAGCCGAGCGGCATCCGAAGTCTCAGGCCCGCGCAGCCGTTGCCATGGCCCAGGAGCTCTCCCCAGTCCGGGCTGAGTGAGAAGCGGGCGCTGGGCGTGTGAGGGGAGGGATCACAGACGACTTCCAGAACGCTCGTTCCCTTTCCCCGGGTTCCACTGCTCGAGCCGTGACGTCTCAGCATTGTGGCGTCAGCGGCGCGCAGCACGGGAAAGCCTGGCTCGTGATTGGCTGAGCGCGGGATCCCCGCCACCTCCTCTCTGAGGAGAGCACCGTCTGTCAGGGCTCAGTACTGGGCGACATGTTATGAGGAGAGATGGATGTGTTCACCGGCTGGAACCTAGAACACACGGATGAGCTCTAGGCAGGGGTGGACTGACAACTCATGGGGCCCCCGGGCAATAGGGGATCATGGGGCCCCTGTGTCCTGCCCAAACTCAAAAAAAGCCTATGAAAAAGGTACCAGGCAGGGGTGGACTGACCACTCATGGGACCCCCGGGCAATAGGGGATCATGGGGCCCCTGTGTCCTTGCCCAAACTCAAAAAAGCCTATGAAAAAGGTACCAGGGGCATCTCATGGGGCCCCCTACTGACCCCACCCTCGGGCAGTGCCTGAGTTTCCAAATGGTCAGTCTGCCCCTGATGTCAGCACAGCTAGTAAGCCCCCCCCCCCCCCATGCTTTCAGGACCTAACTCATAAATGTGAGCCCACCTGCAGGCTCGGGGATCTGTAAGTAGTCCTACCAAGCTGGGTGGGAATTGTACTGACATGGAGCTCGTCAGGAAAGGAAAATTACGGAAAGTATCTGCCATTCAATTTCCCGTTTTCCGGACAGCTCCATGTCATCACAGCTGGGAACTAAGTAGCCATACAGGGGAGAGATAATGCTACACATTCCTCCATTCTGACTAAAAGCAGAAGCCAGGATGCCTCTGCCAAACCCAACTGTTATTAGGACTGCTTCTATACAGTAATGAGCCATGAACATATCTACAGGTGAAACTCGAAAAATTAGAATATCGTGCAAAAAGTTCATTTATTTCAGTAATGCAACTTAAAAGGTGAAACTAATATATGAGATAGACTCATTACATGCAAAGCAAGATAGTTCAAGCCGTGATTTGTCATCATTGTGATGATTATGGCTTATAGCTCATGAAAACCCCAAATCCACAATCTCAGAAAATTAGAATATACATGCAATCAATAAAACAAGGATTGTACATAGAACAATATCGGACCTCTGAAAAGTATAAGCATGCATATGTACTCAGTACTTGGTTTGGGCCCCTTTTGCAGCAATTACTGCCTCAATGCGGCGTGGCATGGAAACTATCAGCCTGTGGCACTGCTGAGGTGTTATAGAAGACCAGGATGCTTCAATAGCGGCCTTCAGCTCTTCTGCATTGTTCGGTCTCATGTCTCTCATCTTTCTCTTGGCAATGCCCCATTGATTCTCTATGGGGTTCAGGTCAGGTGAGTTTGCTTGGCCAATCAAGCACAGTAATCCCACGGTCATTGAACCAGGTTTTGGTGCTTTTGGCAGTGTGGGCAGGTGCCAAGTCCTGCTGGAAAATGAAGTCAGCATCCCCATAAAGCTCGTCTGCGGAAGGAAGCATGAAGTGCTCCAAAATCACCTGTTAGACGGCTGCGTTGACCCTGGACTTAATGAAGCACAGTGGACCAACACCAGCAGATGACATGGCTCCCAAATCAACACAGACTGTGGAAACTTCACACTGGACTTCAAGTTTCTTGCAGTGTGTGCCTCTCCATTCTTCCTCCATACTCTGGGTCTTTGGTTTCCAAATGAAATGCAAAAGTTGCTCAGAAAATAGGACTTTGGACCACTGAGCAACAAACCAAGTCTGTTTTTCTTTTGCCCAGGTAAGACGCTTCTGACATTGTTGTTCAGGAGCGGCTTGACAAGAGGAATACGACATTTGAAGCCCATGTCCAGGATCCGTCTGTGTGTGGTGGCTTTTGATGCACTGACTCCAGTCTCCGTCCACTCCTTGTGAAAGTCCCCAACACTTTTGAATGGCCTTTTCCTGACAATCCTCTCAAGGCTGCAGTCATCCCTGCTGCTTGTGCACCTTTTTCTTCCACACTTTTCCCTTCCACACATAACTTTCTATTAATGTGCTTTGATACAGCACTTTGGGAACATCCAATTTTTGCAATTACCTTTTGAGGCTTTCCCTCCTTATGGAGGGTGTCAATGATGGTTTTCTGCACAACTGTCAGGTCAGCAGTCTTTCCCATGATTGTGATTCCTACTGAACCAGACTGAGAGACCATTTAAAGGCTCAGGAACCCTTTGCAGGTGTTATGGCTTAATTATCTGATTAGAGTGGGACACTGAGCCCGAGAATATTGCACCTTTTCACAATATTCAAATTTCCTGAGATTGTGGATTTGGGGTTTTCATGAGCTGTAAGCCATAATCATCACAATTATGACTAATCACAGCTTGAACTATCTTGCTTTGCATGTAATGAGTCTATCTCATATATTAGTTTCACCTTTTAAGTTGCATTACTGAAATAAATGAACTTTTGCATGATATTCTAATTTTTCGAGTTTCACCTGTATATTGACCCCCACGTAGCTGCCTTGCAGATAGTGCCTAGACACATTTAGCCTGCTGCCGCTCACAAAGTCGACAGTAGACAGTGAAGTGATGCCCCCTGGCACAGCCAACCATTTCAACTTGTAGGCCAAAGAGATGAGCTTCACCAACCAGGAGGCAATAATCTTGTTGGAAGCCATGAAATCATTACACGCTCCACATGGAATGACAAACATGTGCTCTGACTTCCTAATGCCAGATGTTGCCTTGATGTTAAATTTTAAAGCTTGACCCACATCTGATGGGCTAACCTTTTCAGTACTCCCCAAGAGGGATGTAGGAAGGACAACTTTCCATGTGATAAGGACTATGAAGGCCACTTTTGTACAATCTTGAGCATCAGCATGAGTATCAACCTATCCGGGATGAACTTAAGAAAGGGTTCATTAACCTCCCTGGCGGTATTCCCGAGTGTAGCTCGGAGTAAAGTTTCAGTACCACAAGCGGTAACCCCGAGCTACACTCAGGCTTACCATGCGGCGCTGCTCCAGGATCTGTTCTTCTCTTACCTTGTCCTGCGCTCCTGCGATGTCCCTCCTGCAGTGTCCCCTGTAATGTCCTCCGGTGGATGCCGGCATCTGTCATCTGGATTCCATTCCCTGCGACTTCGGGACGTACGGGGGACGGAACGGCGGGAAATTTGAAAATGACAAAAAGTGACATTCACTAAGATCACTAAAATCACATAGTAAAACATTACTGTATCAAACCATTTCACATACATTTTGTCCCGAGTGCTTTGTCCTGTGCCCTGCCTGCATTTTTACTGTTCTTTCTGCCTGGAAACTGAGAAACGTCCATGGCGTCCAAAAAGCGTCCCTTTAGGTCAAAATCGGTTTTAGACTAGCTAGAGAACAGCGATAGTAAATCAGAACCGCTTGCAGAATTGAGTGATAATGATTCGTGGGGAAATTCGTCATCAGACACTGAAAACGATTTTGCGACTTTGTTCAGTGATGTGCCAACTTTTCCCTATATTTCAAATTTCAGTGTGTTTTTGGTTTGATTATATTATTGAATTTAATTTATTGTTATTTTTTATGATTATTAAATTATAATTTATGATTTCGTGTTTCAAGTTTTATCCTACCCGGGATGTTTACTAGACTCTTGTTCGGACAGATTTCAGTGAGTTATTCCTAAAAATTACAGGCCTACAATAAAAAAAAACGTATTTTCATGCAAAAAAATTTACCGCTTTGAGTACAGAAATATGGACATAATCAGACCGCTAGGGAGGTTAAACCCCAGAGCTGCTAATACGGACATTCTTCTGGCTGATGTAATTGCCACCAGGAAAGCAGTTTTCAGCAAGAGGTACCACAAGTGGCCATTTTGATCAAAGGCATCTGATGCCCCACGCCAATAGGAGATCCCACTTCACAATCCCTTAGGTAGGTTTCAACCAAGTTGCTGCTTGAAGGACAGTATAACTGAGTGTTGGATGCTCATTGTATGCCAGAGAAGGCTGAGATAGTTGAAATGTGGTCCCATAGCATACTTGTGCATAAAGCGAAATCAAGCTCCGCCTACAGAAACTTCAGACAGACGTGTGAAGAACCTTGATAAGCAGCAATCCTGTGAATTTGTTATATTCCACTATAGGCACTGTTAGTGCTGTTCTTTTTTGCTTTCATAAGAGTATTCACAACCTTTACAGAGCCCCTAAAATCTATTAGCATCTGCCTCTAAAGACTTAAGCCATGAGATCGAGCCTGTCAGGTGTTTGATAAATGTGACTTTGGAGAATCGGATGAATGTGACTTTGGAGAATCCGATCTGAACAGCAGAGGGAGTGGATCCTTGGCACTCATTAGGAGGGGGGCAGAGGGTATCAAAGCCCCTTCAACCAATCTGGGATCACCACCAGAACTATCACCTGAGAATCAGAGGGAGAGGCAGAAAGACATAAGCTGTCCTGGAGATCCACTCTGCGAACAGCACCTCCACCCCAATTGCTTGTGGATGCTGGACCCTGGGACAGAAAGCAACATGGTGTTGACTGAGGATGTGAACAGGTCTGCCTCTGGAAGAGATTACCAAGCCTGTTCGTTCTCGAAGGACTTGTCAGTCTGGGCCATTCATTGTCATCCAGGATTCTCCTGGACAAATTGCCTAAAGATTCCTCCAACCGAGCACATAGGCAACTGGTAGCTGCAAGGTATTGACTTGAGCCAACCAGAGAAACCTTCAGAGGGAGACATTAAGATGTTTATTTACTAAAGCTGGAGAGTCCAAAATCAGACTCCCTTCTGCATAGAAACCAATCAGCTTCTAACCTCAGCTTGTTCAATGAAGCTTTGGCAATGAAACCTGGAAGCTGATTGGTTTCTATGCAGAAGGGAGTCTGATTTTGGACTCTCCAGCTTTAGTAAATAAACCCCTAAGTGCCCCCTTGTTTTGCTGTCTAACTTCATTAGGTCTACCCTTGGATTATGTGCTGGCTTTTTCTTTGACTCCCAGCCAGAAATGCAGAAGCTACCCTCTCTGGAGTGAGCGTGGAAACGGACTCTTGAACTCCAGTCTCTTTTAACTCAACAGATGTTTATCTTGAGGCAGGAAGTCAAACTGACCACTATTAATTCAGACTTCACCTTCCAAGATCAAGAACAATGCAGTTATTGAGTATGTCCTTGAAGGCCACAATATCTTCTAATCACGTCACGTATCTGGCCAGTCCCATAAGGGACACACTGACCAAAAGGGTGATTCAAAACTCTTGAC